TATTTGCATACATAAGGTTGAGAAATAATGAAAAAAAAATTGGGGGAAAATTAAAAACCATTTTGTCTGTATTCTTAAGAATCACTGAGCTGTTCCTTCTGCAGTAAGAAACATCACTGTCTCTGATTTTAATAAGGCTCTGCTCTTTAACTATTCCTCTCCAATTTCCCCATCGCTGGCATGGACAGATGCCATGCAGGAGTTTGTTCAGAACATTCATGCTAAAGGCAACTTACAGCCAATTGACATGTGGCACATGCAGTCATCCCCGTGGACAACAACAATATGAGCAAGTTCTTTGAAAGATGATTAGATGATTTCTGGGCCCATACCAAGGAAATTTAAATGTTAATGATGTTCATGAGCACAATCCAAAAGCCACAAATGCTCAACCTTGCACATAAACTGAATAACTGTCCACAGTGACCAGGATTGAGAAGACACCTTCAAGCTTTAGCTAAAATTTGAAAGCTAAATGTCTTCTGAAGACTGTTTGGACCAATCATGGTGAGGCTTCTATCTCTAGGAACGCTGTAACTATAACAATTGTCAATCCTGCTGGTGACAGAATCACGCTGAAGAACAATTTGACGGGTTGATGTATTTCACAAAATAAATGGAAGAAAAAAGGAGGAAAACTAACTATATTCTGCAACATCAGATCAAGTCAATAACTACACGGTTGATACTTGGATAGGTGGATGTCCTAACAGGAAGATGATCTCAAACCAATATCTAACTTGGTTTTAAAATAAAAAACTGCTGAGAAAAAGGGTATAGACGCTGATGGCTACTTTACAATCTCACCAATCTCTCTATCCTCAAGCAATGTCCTGTCAGTCACTCTGGCCCCGGACCTCTCCTGGTTCTGTGCCTGATCTGCAGATGTCTGCATGGACTGCCTCCTCCAGACATCTGTGCCTTTCTGCCCTCCTTCTTTGTTCCCGCCTTCAGCCCTCATTCCTTTCGAACACAGAAGCAACAAAACTATATGAGTAACAGAGCTCAATTTTGCTGCATTACTTTCTACTTGCTCAGATAAGCTCCTTTTCCTATTGATGACCAATATCATTTACTTGTTGGTAACAGATCATTTTCCTCTATGCTTTATTTTCAATGATAGTGTTTATAAATCATGTTACTCACAATATTCTTTTACACATAATTAAACTTTACTTTAGATTTCAAGGAAGCGTAACAGAAAGGATTCCTTCAATTTTCTGTTGAATTCCTTGTTGTTCAGTGTTTGGAACAATTCTCTGTACTACTTATCGCAAAAAGCAGATTTTTACATACACAAAAAAGGGACATGATATATTCCCACTCACTTTCTGACATTAAAATCAGACTAAATTTGTTTTTAAGTTTAGGTCACTGAAGAATAGCAATATGGTGTCTTTTTTTTCTTTTTTAAAAAGCAAGTATATTGAAAAGGATATTTCTTTAGAAGTTATTAAATTATAATTCCAAAATACATTTTCTTGGTATTCAGTAGCACTGGTCTTAAACTGCATGACTTATATTGCCTCTAGAACATCCTTCCCTATTCGGTGGCACACTGGTAACATCAGCAATATCTTATTCTAAAATGATGCAGAAAAACTAGCACAAATATTTGCTACTTTAAGGCTGATCTATTATTTATTGTCTACAAGTTATAGAAATTCAGTACAACTGGCTCCATGTTTATCTGCTTAGCCATGTTTAACTCTTATCAAAGTGCTAAACATAAAGTGTTTTCTGCTACTACCAGCTCGGTGTACTCAGTTTTTCTTTCCAGTAAGTACTCCTGGACCAGTGAGTCTGTACTTTACTATACGTGTGAGTGTGCTGTCCTCTCAACTCCTTTGGCAGATGTATGGTTCTGCTGAAGGTCTTGATGAAACAAAAAAAAGGAACTGTGTGTGCTTAAATGTATCTTCCAACATCTTATGAAACCTCTTACCAGCTTCAGAACTCTCTCCTCCTCTGACATCTCTGCTGCTGTTTGGAGCAGATGCTCCAACTGGCCCATTCGCCTCACTGCTTGATGACTCTGCCCCTTCCTCTTCTGCTTTTGGAGCAAGTTCTTTTCTTGCTTCAACCTCCTGGTGGCAGAAAAGGAGAGGATTAAAGGGAACAGCAAGGTTGGCCCAAAGTCAACTGTCGACACGATGTCTGTGGTTTGTGGATGTTTGTTTCGGCACAGACCTTTCAGCTCCCCCTCCTGCTGCATTAACATCATGGTATTTTGTCATGTGTGGTTTACAACAGTACAGTAAATACAACAATCATGAGGAAATAATTCCTCCCTCTCTGAACTGCAAAATAAATTATTTATCACAGGGTCATTTAAACCCCAGGATTTTTGTGCTCTGTGTGATATTACAAAGTTTTCTTTCTGTGGTTTCAGAAAGATCATCATTCTGTGACCCCGCCTCATGGTGCTTCCCTGCTATCCGACAATGACATCTACCGGCCTCCTCTTGAGCATCGTGCCAAGATCATGGGAGGTTAAACACTAACCAGGTCCAGATATTTTACATTTTTTGCACCTGTTTTTTTAACAAGTTCTTCTTTTGCGCTCTCTGCTACACTGCTTCCCACTTTCTCTGTTTTGATGTCGGCTGGTTACATCATCAACAAGCATTACTGCGGTTAGTCGGTAGACTACAGATATCTATCATATGCCAAATTTCTATAATTTCAACCATATACCGTTTATATCGTGCATTCCTGAAACACACCTTCAAAATGCAGACCAATTACACAGTTGATTCGCATGGAGAGGGGGGCAAAAGGTTCACCACGGAGCTTGTGACATGAGGCTGAGAACAAAATTGTGATTTTAGTCGCACAACTGCAACTCTGAGAACTAATGTCAGCAGTTTGGCTCGACCACACAGAGCCCTTTAGGAACTGTATATAAGCCCCTGCAGATTAAAACAGTTTGGTGTAGAGTAAAAACTTCTCTTTTGCTTACTTGAATGGGTGAGAGAGGACCCAGGGAAGGGCTACAGGTTCCCATCCTACTACTCTGCTCCTGACAGGAACATTGTGGTACGGAATCTCCCTGTAGATCGGCTGCAGCAGCCTCAGTTCCAGGCTTTTGGGATGAGAAGACAGCCATTTCTTCAGTCGCCTGTGCTGCTCCAGCAGACCCTTCAGCCCCATCTACCGATGCTCTGGTTAGAGCACAAGCTTCGTTTCCCCCTTCATCCTCTGCTACTTCATTTCTGGCATTTGGAGGCTCAGTTGGAAGCTGAACAGCAGAAGAAGAACCTTCCTCTGCTCCAGCTCCAACATCTTCCTTTAAATCTTCATTTTGTACAGGTGATCTGCTTACAGAGTCCGTGCTCTGTTCTGCCCTTGTGTTCTGTGATAGGTCTCTGTGCTGCCCCACCGAATCCTCATCCTCATCTGAATCAATGTGCAGCATGGCGTTGAGTCGTGTGTCAGTTGGAAAGCTGGAGCGCAGTTTTGGCAAAGGTGGCACCAAAAGTCGGTCCCCGTGGCCAGTGGGGGCCTCAAGAGCGTCAAGGTAGTCATTGAGGGACACCTGTCGATGGGTGTGTTGCCCCGGAGCCACAGAGGGCAGATCATTCTCTCCCACGCGTCCGGGCTCACGCCACATGATGTTCTCGCCGTAGCAACAAAGGCCATTCACCAACAAGGGGCCATCGTCGGAATCCATGGGAGAAGGTCCACTTGTGACACGAGATGATGAGGAGGCTTGAGGAAGATCTTCATCATCAGACGGGCTACCAGGGTCTCCGCTGCCCAGGAGGCTTCCTCCAGCAGCGTCTGGGGAGGCTTCTGAAGAGCAGAAGTGTGGGGTGGGTTTCATTACTTCATTACAGAGTTTACAACAAACCATGTTAAATTAAATAAATATTTCACTGGGATGAAAAAATATGGGCTTTTCTACTGCCTCACAACTGCTGATTGAAACCAGCAACACACCTTCTTGTCCGGTGGAAGTGATGTCCACTCTGAACTGAAGCTGGCCGCTCACATTGTCTGTCGGGAGGCGGCGACACAAGTTATAGCTGACCTGGTGATTCCTACAGACACACACACACACACACACACACACACACACACACACACACAAGCTGTTTATCTGGATCTGTGTGACTGGTAAATAAAGCTCTTTAAAGTACAGTAATTATGCCTTATGCTAGTTTAGAAGTTGAAATTAATGCAGTCTGGCTCCTACTGGAAGGAATGAATATCTGCAAGCCTCAATTAGAAAACTTCTAGTCATTTTGTCTGAACTTTCTCCTGAAAAGTAGATAAATTAATATGATAAGGTCAGAAGAGGACAAAAGTGAGTTGTAGAAGGATAATGGCGTAGTATGTTGTTTGTAATGGATAGAGACCTGTTTAAATTAAGTTATCTAAATTATTCAAATTTGTATATTATTTATTGTAAATTATTTAAAGGATGTTGCAGGTTGTTTAATGATATTTGTCTGTTTTGATTACCACTGTTGGTGATTTATGTTTTGTTTTGTTTAATTGTATTTGCACTTTAAGGTTTTTTTTTTGTTTTTTTTTTGTACCTCGCGGGCTGCCGTAGCCAAATTAGGGCAGGCCCTATAAAAGCTGGGAAATCACTGCATCAATGAATAACTTCAACAAACTGTCGGATGTGCTTGGCACTGCTGATGTTTAGCGTTCCCCGGTGAAAGCAGCGAGGTACGTTTTATTTGTTGTTTGTGTTGTAAGTTTATGTTTATATTCTAATATTTGTATCTGTTTAGTTTTCACGGTGACTATGGTGACTGAGATGGGTGTGGTGACTCTTTGATGATCCACATCAAAAAAAATAAACAAGCCATGAAAATCACCCGTCGAGACTGCGCAAAATTTAATTCACGTGCTGGGGAGCTGCTACATTGTTTAATAACTTATTGTTTGAAACAAACTTATCCAGGTGTGAATTTAGTTGTTTCTTATTTAATGGAAACACCACAATTGTGAAATTGAGTTTTTTGACATTAGTGGAAAGTTGACATAACACTGGACATATTTGCAATGGAAATGCAGTTAATGATAAATATTGAGATGCATGTATAGAACTTTTACAAGAGCAACAGAGAGGCCAACATGAAGTATTCCCTGTGGAAAAAGTTCTTTGGTTCCATCAGTTCTTTAGTTTTCAAACCATAATCGTCAGGGCACACCACCCTGCATCTTTTAGATGTTTCCTTGTTTCAGCTCCCCTGATTTCAATCGATTAACAAGCTTTTGCTGAACTGTAGTAATCTAAACCTAGTTAGATTATTATCCAATTAAAGATTAGAACATTTCTGTTATCTCTAAAGATAACTAAAGTGATGTGTCATTTTAGCAGCGACACATGTAAAACACTCAGTGTGTGCCTTAAGGATCAAGGTTGAAAACCCCTGTTTTTGACATTTCAGTTGTACAGCACAGTTTTGTGTCTGGGTGTGAACTCACTCAACTGTTGTTGGCCCCTCAAGAAGTCTCTGCACGGGGATGATCAGATGACCCAGAAAGCGCTTGATAATTGGTCGGCTCTTGGCAAACTTATCCTTCACTTCAATCTCCAACACATCACTCATGAGAGCCACAAAGGTGTACTTCTACAGAAAACAGAGATACAAAAACCTAGATACTTGATAATTCTTAGTGTTAAATTGGTGGACAGAACAGGTAATAAAAAGTTTCATAAAAACTCTAACACACACATTTTTTAAGAATTGGACATCTGCTGATATCCAAAGTCTTAAATGCATGACCAGGGCGAATGAGTTTATCAAAGCAAAGGGGCTTACCTCCCCATGCCACACAGGGTTGATGGTATTGGCTATAATGGTGGAGCGCCTCTCCTGGCCATGATGAGTGAATTTGGGGAGGCCGCTCCTCTTCCCAGGCAGGATGGACATCTTCAAGTATGGGTCAGGGTTAAAAAACATCCCCTTCTTCAACCCCACTGCCTGAATATCTGAAACAGTAGCAGTTATAGGCATCTTTCTTGTCAATACCAATAGTGCTAGCATAGGCATTACAACGTTGGCTTTATATCACCTGAAGAACATTTCTAGGATTAAAGAAATTCTAGAAACTCTTTGAAAGATCTCAAAGAAACTAGTCCATATGTTTGACTTTAGTCAACCTGATTACTGCCTAAAAAGTCAATGAAACAATTGCAGTTGATCCAGAAGCAAATCCCGTCCATTCCTAAGTCCTTATACTGGCTCCCTGTAGCCCAGTGTTGTGTGTCCACCTTATTACTGAATTAGCCAGAACACTGAATTAAATCATCACAAAAACCACCCAGTTGCTTTATTGAACAATGTCCATCATCCAACTTGGCGCTCATACCCCTGAACTACAATACTCATTATGTGATCACGTAAGCACATAGTGAATACATGACTTTAGGGTGCATTCACACCAATCCTGTTTAGTCCGCTTTAATAGAACTCTAGTTCTTTTCTCTAGAAAGTCCTGTTCATTTTGGGAGGTGTGAATGCACAATCAAACTCTAATGCTGACTAAAAAAGCCCAGCCACACTACAGAAAAAACCCATTTCGGCCGCTTGTATCCTGGACCTCGTTCTTTCAGTCATGACCCACAACTCATGACCACAGATGAGGGTTGGTACATAGATTGACCAGTAAATTGAGAGCTTCACTTTTTGACTCAGCTCTCTCTTCACCACGACAGACCAGTAGAGCGCTCGCTTCACTTCAGATGCTGGCGCTAATCCGTCTGCCGATCTCCCGCTCCATTTTTCCCTCATT